CGAGAGGTCCGGTTGCGCAAGGTGTACAAGATTGATCTTGGCTCCTTTGCTTTCACTTCTGAGCTTGAATAGCCTCGACCTCATTGTGTATCAAGATGATCTTGGCTCCTTTTTCTCTCGAACAATGTTCGGCTTGGACCCTAGGGTCGCTGCCTTCATTCCTGATCTTATGTAAAGTANGGGAGGTGTTGGGCCGCATAGAGGATAGGCCGATCGCCCTTGCACTTCAAAGTTCTATAAAAGGTCTCTGTGGTAGCTGACCGAAGAGATGTAGTTGTAGAGTCTAGCTGGAAGATCGAAGAAAGAGTCTCACGCCACACAGCCGACGAGCACAAAGCCACGTCCTCTTGCCTCCACGCAGGTCCAAAACACACTCCGTCCGGAAATGCTCCTCTGAGGCTTCCTCGATTTTCCTTCCCGGTTGCCCGATCCACTTCTCGTTTTCACCAGCACTTATTAACTTTCAGGTCTCTCAATTTCATAACATGAGTTTAAAGGTTGCTTTAGAGTTACATAGAGTGTGTTACAATATTAATCATTCAATGCTTGAAACCTAACAAATGCATTATCTCACAACCAAATAATGCCGATGATCGATATGGCGACGTCCACGGTCTTGCAGACCGGGACCGCGGGTCCGGGAAAAGAATGGCTAGATTTACAGTCTCCCTCGAGAAAGGGGAAAGTAATGAGCAGCCATCAGCAAAAAAGAGATGTCAACAATCCAACTATTGATACTTTCAAGGCTTTGATTGAAGCACTGAAATCAGCCTACAGAGCTGCTGGCCATCGATACGATATTCCCTCGATGACGATTTTTCAGACTGGTCCATTTCATCTCTAGTCGAAGGACAAACCATATGTTTCAACAAATCCGACGAGTTCACTGTCGATATATCGCTTGGAGCCATGCCCACACGTTGTCGTACTCACCTAACACCTCGAGGAAAGTTAACTAATATAAATACTCGAAGAGGCTAAAATAACGTGAGAATTGCGACGCAGCCATTTCTCAGCCCCCACGCGTCGAAGCTAGGCTATAACTCCTCCCTCAAGGCGGGCTTAGGCCAGGCTCAGACATATCGGATCCATCTTCATTCCTGAATCGGTACGTTAGGGAAAGGTAAAAGTTGGTGCACTAGGATGAACTAGGACGCGCAATTTTGGCCGATCGACACGGTTGCTTTCCCGTACGAGATTTTCTGTGCACATCAACGACACATGGGACGACGTTGAAGTCAATATTTAAGTGTCGTCTCTCTCTCGGATAAGTTCGGTGAAGTAACAGGCCTCTGTCGGTCTGCTCGGAGACATGGTCCGTTGGGTTTGAGGAGAATGCTGCTCCCTCGTGGGATCTACATTATGCCCGTCGACCTCTTCCTTCGACAACACGAGTCACTTTCCATTGGGAACATCCCACTCGATACGATTTAGAACAGTACTGCCCTATCCTGACGCGTGTAGCCTATGGGCCTATGCCCTTCTCGGTCATAGGCCATGCGGAGGGACACGGAGGATGCATCTAGTCGAGTCGACGAGAATTTGAAGTTCACAGGTTACCTCATCAGAGGTCGCGGATTGCTAAATAGCTGACAGCTCCCGTCCCTAATCTTGGGCTAGGAAAAACAGGACAGCAGGGATGCTAAGTATGACGTTTCATTCAACCTCTGGTGACGAATGAAGGAGATTCTTCGGGTAGAAGAACGAGCCTGACTGTCTCCCAGCCGGCATGCTTGTCGAATTCCACCGACTGTTTTCCTATATGTTGTGTGTTGGACGTAGCTACTACAGTTTTCCGGCGTGATTTGTGCGCAGGTTTCTTCTATCAGCTCCTTCACCTGGTTGCCATCGAAAGCCATTGCGACGATTGACGTAGCTTTTCACTCGTTGCCAGACCGATTCGGTAGGACTCAAGTAACAGTGATCTGTTATCGAGGACCACTTTCTGAAATGCGATGATCACTTCCCTACAATACTGGTGCTCTCTATGACCTCTGATGTCATTGGTCCTATACTTAGGCTTTGGGCTCTTAGTCTCTAATTGGGCACGTTGGGGATGGGTGAATGATAACCTCAGGCAAGCGATATCGACTTATTGATAGCTTTAAGCAAGATATGGAGAGCGAGGACGAGCGGGCGTGATCGGCGCGGCGGAAGCGACTTAGATCGAAGGCGTGGTCGTGGCAGACGGCGAGGAAAACTTGGAGGCGGGAGGGTGTCGCGCGCGGAGCAGGGAAGACGTTATCCTCGCTCGTCCAATCTCGGAGCTGCGTCGTCAGTTGAACGCTATCTCGAGAAATTTATGGTGGGTTCAAGTCTCGTACGACGGCGCGGGGAGTGGAGGCTGGACACGAGGATGTGCCTCACATGTAGGCAAGGATCACTTCGGAACTCACGATGATTAAATTCAGGAATGTTTAAGTACGAGAGGTCCGGTTGCGCAAGGTGTACAAGATTGATCTTGGCTCCTTTGCTTTCACTTCTGAGCTTGAATAGCCTCGACCTCATTGTGTATCAAGATGATCTTGGCTCCTTTTTCTCTCGAACAATGTTCGGCTTGGACCCTAGGGTCGCTGCCTTCATTCCTGATCTTATGTAAAGTAGTTTTTACAGGGTCCTGTCATCTCAACGTAAACGCTGCAGGCACCAACTAAATACTTATTCTAATACTAGACTATTAGACGTAAAGGCAATCACTCCTATGTACAAGTGTCATATTTATATTAATTGTAGGTTAGTCAGCTTGACCGGGGTCGCGGTCGAGCGATCCTAGCGCCATCTCTGGACCTTTCAGTTTAACAACTCACTCGAATGTTCGTAGATATCTTTGACAAACACGTTTATAATAAGTTGCGCTTCGGCTAGAAGCTCCCCTCTTTTCTTTGTCGTGGATCTAAAGTTTTGAGGAGAAATTGGGAGCCCCACGTGAAGGATTGTGGAATCTCGTGAAGACGTGATTTGTCCCACATTCCTCGCGTGCGACTCCCCCCCAAGTCGTTGGCGGCGCCGTACTCGGAACGCGCCATATGGTGTGAATGGACCCAGCGAATCGGCCTGATCGGTCCTTCAATTCTCCGGTCGAGATCCTTTCTAATGAGGAAGTGGTAGGCATGGGTCTGCCCTGTAGACGGTCTGTGGGTTCGGGTATTGCCGCCCTCGTTGACTGCGCCGAAATGTGCGCTCCTGCTGTGTATAGTTTTGACTGTTTTGACCTGCTGTGTATAGTTTTGACTGTTAAATGTAAAATAACTGAACGAAGGCTCGAGTAAATCATGATGGCATTTCTGCTCATTAAGACATTCCGTGTCAAGGTCGAGCCTTGGATGGTTATTTTGGGTATTTTTTGCGAGTGTGCAACTAAACTGGGTATCCAGCATCTATCTGCATTGCTCCATTGTCTTGCCTCGTTCGCGAAGGCATCTAAACCCCTTTTGAAACCTGTCGCCGCCATCGTTTTGCGGTTGATATTACCTAATTTAGAGATTCTCGCGAACTCCACCTCTCGTCACACCGATTTTACGGTGACCTCCAGATGAGGTCAGTTAAAGAAAAAACTGGTTTGAACTCGGGTTTTCCATTATAATTACAAGATAGCATTGTCACATGGGTAATTTCTTCTTACGCATTATGTGTACTTGAGGCATATAATTTAGTTCAACGTATGCAGAAACATAAGGTGTGTCTGTAAGCAGGATGACTTTGCATTGAAAAACAAGAAAACTCGTATCTAATGCGGTTTGCGTTCTACATTTTGAAATTCTGCTTGGCTAGGAACGTGAAAGGCTTGTTTGTGAAAGCAAACAATTGAGGTCGTTATTATTTGGGCCTCCCATGAGCTCTTGAGTTCTAATCTAACGTTAGTAACAGTAAATACAACTTTTCCTGTTTCTCATGTCTTCAAGCATCTGTATTTTGGCTTACGATCGCTCGCTGTATTCTTCCCTTAAGATGATGTAGCTCGGTCAGGTTCAAGGCCACTCTTGACCTTTGATCTGCAGCGGACCGTGCGAACGAGAGTTGAAGGTCGTCTTTCGAAATCTAACCGACAGCATTTTAAAAGTGAACAAAACCTTACTCTCTTATCCACTTGGATCTTTTGAAGTGGCTGGGCTACACTCAATCTGCTTGGATAACACTTGAGTTGCTTTTTCGGCTGGATTTGTGAGCTCTTGGTGCTCCAATCCCTCGGATAGGTGAACTGGTTTTTCCGGTTTCAGGAGCGTTGTACGGATACTTGGATGGTCGTCCACAGTATATCATCACGTGACGCGACTTTGGGATCCTCTCGAACGAGGCAATGACGGATTCTAGCTCGTCGGGTACTTCCTACGAGTGTCACGTGAGCTTTTTGTTTGGACATCGGTGATTCCCCATCTCCCAGGATCCGCTTTCCGTCTTTTCAATGCCACGGGACCCTGGAGAAGAGATAAGAAATCGGGGGAGGCACCAGTCACATCTGGGTGCTTTCCGCTTTCCTGCGACGGCGATGAGTGGTTTTCCGAGGAAAAGTAGATAGGAAAGATAACTTGAAATGTTTCGATTTTAAAAAGAGAGGCACGAGAATAGAATCCAGTGTGCGGAAGGACGGCACACCTTTCATCCACTCTGGTTCTTTTCGTCCCCGCTCGCTCTTCGACCGATGGGGAAATCGGTAGGGGTTCGTTCGGGTGGGCAAGGGCCTAAGGTGCTCTCTCTGTTCGTGTTGCTGGCGGTGGGGCGGCGGGCCGGAGCGCAAGATCTGGTAATTCAATGATTTCGTTGAATGCGATGCAAATTTGGATTGCTACGGCGAGTTCACTGCCGAAGAAATTCTGGAAGAAGTCCGTCAACAGAGAAATGCCCACAGAGGCTTAGCCTTGCAGGTCTTGCAATCAGAGTATGACACGACGGGGATGGGAAACCAGATGCACATATTGTGTCCAGGTTCTAACTAGCCGGCATCGCCCATCGTTCCTATTCTTGGGTGGGGTACGGACGAGCTCGAGCCTCGACGGGGAAAGATGAAGCGGGTCAAAGTGTGGGGACGATCGAGAGGACACTTGGACAGGGTCTGGCCATCTCGGCGTCTCCGTCCCGCTCTCCACATTCTGCGTCGGGACGGGGACGGGGTGCATGCACTGGAATGTGCCTGCATCCATTGACACTGAAATTGATTACTCCTGGTGGTTTCCAAAAAGCACACATTCTTTAAGCTCGAGTGAAGAACACACACGGACCTTGAAGAAAGTCGACACTTGTTTTCGCACACCAGTTAAACATTGTATAGAAACGTAAGACGTGGAATTCCCCTCCAGTGGCAAAAGCTCCATGACTTTGACAAAGAAGTTCCCGTTACCGCCTGAGCGAATTTCACGAAGTTCCTCAGAATACATAGAATTTTACAGTAGTTGCTGACTTCATCTTTGCGAAACTGCAAAAGATGTGGCAAAAGCTCCATGACTTTGACAAAGAAGTTCCCGTTACCGCCTGAGCGAATTTCACGAAGTTCCTCAGAATACATAGAATTTTACAGTAGTTGCTGACTTCATCTTTGCGAAACTGCAAAAGAAAAGAACGTTGGGGAAAGTGTGAAGAAATGAAGAGGGATTAGGGACCCGATTAGCATCCGATCGGCTAATATGAACGACGGAAGGCACCTGGGAGACAGGCCTTCTTTTACAGGAAACTTTAATTCCAATTTCATTTTCTGATAGTCGATTGCATCGAGCAAAACCGGTATTGATGCAGTTAACAAAATGAACACTCGCTCCCGTGACGAAACAGGTGTCGAACGAAGAGGCAGAGAGTGGGAGATATTCGGGAGTGAGCATGTGGGCCGGAGGGCAGTTTCACTGGGGTCCGAACGAAGCCGTTCCGACTCATCTCACGTTGTACGATGGGAGCGTGCCGTGGGAGGAGAGGGTGGATCTCGCTCTGTCCTGGTTCGTCGACCGGCCAATTTCGTCGTCTTCTACTTGGAGGAACCCGATAGTACGGGGCACGATAACGGACCGGATTCTCCGGAGGTGAAGGCGATGGTGGAGCGGGTGGATGAATTGCTTGGATATCTCGTGTCTCGGCTCGATAGCCTGGGCCTCTTGGAAAGGACTAATCTCATCTTCCTTTCGGACCACGGGATGCTGGGAGTGAATCGCAGCATGGCGTTACACCTCGACTCCATCCCCGTCCCTCCCAGTGATTACTGGCATGCCACCAACTCTCCCCTAGTGCTCATCTATCCGCTGGAAGGTAGGTCGCTGCACTCCTCCCCTCCCTTTCACGATGAAAACGTTCCCTTTTTGTCGTCCGCATGGCAGGGAAAGAGGAGGAAGTTTATCAGGGATTCCTCACTGCATCCATGACGAGACCATTCACAGTGTACAAAACGGAAAACAGCCCCGAAGAATGGCATTACGGACCCACACCACATTCCCCACCGTTTTACATAGTTGCGGACAAAGGATATACTTTCAGTGATGATGCCTGGTTGCTGAATGCTACCCCCAAAGGTTTCTTTTCCCTCGATGACACCAATGAGCCCTTATGTTTCTAAGCCCTATATCGAGTATTTTGTTTGTGACCAGACCCAAGGAACGAGATGATCGGGGTCCACGGATACAACAATTCCTTTCCCGAAATGCAGGCCTACTTTGTCGCCCACGGCCCGGCATTCAAGAAGGGCTACGTGTCTCCCGAGGATCTCGTTTTCAACAATATCGATGTGTACCCTTTGCTCTGTCACCTCTTGGGAATCCAAGCTCGTCCAAATAACGGAACTCTGGAGCACTCCTTGGACTTTTTAGTGCCAACCGGCCACAGTGTCAGGTCAGTGTCAGAGTTGGATCTCTGGAATGCCTCGAATTCGAGATTCCCTCTTAGAAAGAGGTTGAGTATCTGTCATTACCATGGGTGCGATGGGAACGTGGCAGCCAACCGGTAAAGCTACTACTTCCTTCATTCGTCTAACATTTAACAGATCCATAGGAGTGAGTGGTAGAGCAAGCCCCTCGCGGCAGCGTGGTCTGGGTAGCAGGCACTTTGGAAATGCCACATCTAGCATCCTATCCTTAACTCTCATCCTTTCTCCGGGATCGTTCACGTAGGCCCACGCTGTACTGTGCTGTAGGCTGCTCGAATCGACGCTTTGCGTTAGGGTTGGGCGAGGGAGACGATTGCACGAGTAGAGAAGTCGACGAAATGGAACATTTGTACCGGGTTGAATATTCTAGTTAGGGGGATGCAGTTGAATTTGTCAGTTTTGAAGAAGTTGAAAGGCCACAGTACCGTTTTCATTCACTCATGCAGGGATTTATAACATGGTGGCAGTCTCGATCACGCAGGCCTCCTCTTTGCAGGGACTCGAGCTCGAAGGAGTGATCGATTTTGGAGTCACGTTCCAAGGCCGTTCTGTGAGACGGAGCAAGTACCTCTGCCCAAGTAATTGTATTTCAGATGCTGTCTCTATATTCACAAGTTTCCTTTTCGCATTTCGTTTCTGTACTAAACCTTTATTCCCCCTGCTTGTAGAAGTAAAGAATGCTTCAAAACCGTAGCGCTTTGAAATGAATACGTTCCGTCGAGTCTGGCGTTTCACTCGTAGAATTAGCTGCGCTTCCGCATGGAACCGGCAGCGACATCTCGAGGAAAGGTGGCGAAGTAGAGACGTCAGTATAGCCTATTGCTGTTGTCATATTCGGTGGGTTGACGTGTGATGCTGGCAATGCATAAGAAGTTGTAATGTGGCATAGTAAAACCAAACATGCATGGGTGAGCCAGTATTAAGAGTCAGTGTTTAAGTGTCGTGTTTTGCTACGACTGAAACGTTGTATGCCGAAGTGGCAAGGGATCTTGTAGTATTTTCTATACGTGTAATAAACTTGTATTTATTCGCAGTTCATTCCAGATCGCAATATGGTTAGGCGCTTAGTATAGAAGACTCGTTTGGAGCTTGGTAAAGGTGGCTCCCCGTGGCGAAAGGGTAGACTTTAGTGTAAACCGATTAATCATGCGCAAATATGTATTTTTGTCGACCGATAAAATGCTACGATTCATTTTTTATGCGTCAAAACGTTTCCAATGATATGAAACACCAGGCAAACAATCCAATTTCAGGTGCACGTGATGCCGCAGCCCCTGCTCATGCAATGCATGCAAGCCGTGATTAAACGTGAACACGCCATAATAGCAACTGCAAAGACGGCGGGTGTGCGAGGCCGTCCCCTCGTCTAGGGCGAGCCTTGTTCATGGCGTCATTATTTTAGCATTTTGACTTTGAAAATGACCATAAGTTGGGAGAGGACGCGGCGCTGAAATTCATCTGCAGATTTTGTTCCGTCGGCGTTGGTCCGACGCGCGAGCATTAGACCAACTCGATCGAGTTACGCACGTCTGACCATTCGTGCGGCCGACGTGTCTTGCTGTCATCAAACTGGAAAATCCTACCACACTCGACGTTATCTATTCCTTTAATCATCTCGAAAGCCTGGATGAGATCGCCCCTCCTTAACCTTCGTTCGAGCGTGTACAGTCCCAACACTTCTAAACGCTTCTGGTATGATCGTCCCCCGACCTCCTCGATCGTTCTTGTGGCCCTCCTCTGTACTCCCTCGAGCGCCAACAATTCGCCCTTATTTGTAGGCCTCCAAAACTGGATGCAATGTTCCGACTGGGGTCTTATCAGTGCCGCATACAACGGAAGAATAACTCGCGAAACCCTACTTGCAACCGAACGACGAATGAAACCTAGAATCCTGCTGCATTATTCCACCGTCGCTTGCGGGTGCGAAGAAAACTTTAGGTCATCGTCGATAGAAACTCCTAATTCTCTCCGTTAGCCTCTCCCAGTTTAACCTCGCCGAACGTGTCGCGAGTTTTTTGGGAAACAGGTTTCATGTTGCCAGGAACGTTCAAATGGAACCCAACCCCACCCAAGCCTACCACATCTACACCAAGGAAGCTAAGGCTTGCTTCGGTGGCTTCTGGCCAGGTTTCATTTGGGAAATGGGAGACTGTGGGGGTTTTTTTATATCGTGGATGGAAAGCGTGGGACGTAGGGACAAAACTGTTGCAGTGACCTGGTTAGCTTACAACAGCTGCAGCTCGTCCAATAGGGGGCCAATTGACATGTGACTAGCACCAATCCAAAACCAGGAAGTTGAAGTATGATTTACTGAAATTTATGTAAAATTGAACTCGTCATACTCGAGTTATAAGTCATAAACTGGCAATGTATCGAACATTGCAACAGTTTTGTCCCTCACTGTATATTAGATATCCGAATTTACCTTTTTTAAAATTTTATTTGACTAATTCAACCAGCTGTAGTTTTCTTTATTTTGGCAAACCTTCAAACATCCATATTATGAAATGACGGAGTTTCCACACTTGCATGCAAAGTATATTATAATCATACCTTCAAGGGAATGTATAAGGAATGCGAATGTTTGTCCCAAGTCTTTCATGTATCATGCAGTTCATGGTTAATATGACCGAAGCCGGACAGTATTAATGCTTCAAGGAGACTAACTTGGTCGTTTGATATATTGAATAGTTTGACTGCTCCGGGAATTGCAAGACTTTTTTTTATATCAAACTTCAAGGAAGGCCTCAAAATAAATGTTCCATGAAAAACGTGTTTCAATTGAGCTTGCGTTACTCGGAACTTTTATTACCTTGGAAGATAAGGTACGCTTTACTTTAATAATATTTATGCTTTATAGGAAATCGTTTAAAAATTCGACGTCTCTACGGGCTCCGAAATTCGTCTCCTGTAGGGGTGTGACGTGTGCCCGGCTATGAGTACATACATATTTCACTTACAAGAGGAATGGAATGAAGAACGACGGAAGCTTAGAAACCATTTCAGAAGCAACTTTCTGGGGAACCTCCAGGTCAGTATCATAGGCTATATTATTCACATGAAGGGTTAACAATTGAGCTAATCAGTAGCAACTGAGTGAAACAAAAATTCTGTGATTAAGATCCTTCATTACTGATGGATCAATTTTGACTTGGATAACAGTTTAATAACCTGAATTAAATAGAAGTAGGGGTTGAAGGGGTTGTCAATATCCAAGACAGAAAACGAAAGCACAATGAATAGGAAATCTTACGCAAGCCATCTTTGCGATCTGATCAGCACATGCATGTGTAGCTCAGGGCAGTATTGCTAGTCATAATCTCACGCTGGAGCGTAACCTCGTCATACAAATGCAGCACACAATGGACCAGTCTTATTCATGAAAACTTACAGAAAATGAAATTAAATTAAAATGAATAAAATGTGGAAGAGCATTCGTGAAAATAATGTAATTTTACTTTACCATCCACAATACACCCCTTCTAACACAATGCACTACTTCTATGCCCAAGCCCTGTCTCCAATCATGTCTTGTTATTAAATGAAAACTCCAGAGTTTCAGTTGCTTCATCAGCATCCATTTAATGCAGGTAAACATTGGCGGCGGCAAGGAAAGACCCTTCACCGAGGCACAAAATGATTATCTTCAAGAGTATTACCCTGAAGCAGGTGAAAAACACTTTTCCCTACCTTCAGACGCCCACCTCAAAGAAAATGATTTCAAAGAACTGCTAAAGAGCCTTCAGCAGGAGGAAAAGAAGTTGACTGACAGAAAAGATGTGGATCTTCCCCCGATGCACATAGCAATTACTGCTGTTTTTCAACAAGCAAAAAAACTTTGCAGTGATGCTCCATCTTTGGTGATTGCAGATTATGTCATCTCTGAAACATTCAATCGGAACGAGATATTCACAACAGCCATGAAGAATATGCCGGATGATGAGAGAAACAAACTTTTCAAAGTGAAACCGGAATTCATAAAAAGTGAGTGCCGTGGCATATTTTTGTCTTACCGAGGTAAATCGAAGGTATTCAACATATTCCTCCAGGTCAATACATCTTGTTCAGAAGAAGATCAGCTTCAGGTCATTAGACGCATTACTGATTCAATTCATAGGTGCTATGATGACAGAACTGTGTTCCAGACAGTGTGCGACCTAGATGACACTGCAATGATTTTCACCTTTCCCGCCTTTCCATTTATTGATAGAAGTGGTATGCGCAAATTCTCGATTTGTGAGTCGTGTCTAAAGAAGATTTTGACAAAAGACGATATCCAGAGTAAAAAGGCCTTTCAATGGTTTTTGAAAGAAAATGGAGTGAAAGAACTCCCTGACCCCAATGCGAAGGGCTATTTCAAGGTATTTCATGACATATTTTCCCTATATGTTTGCGCATCTTCTTGCATTGGAATGCCGCGGAATCGCAAGGAGCATCGTGAAGCATGTGGTGCCAGAATGAAGGAAACACTGTGCTTTTTGACACCAGAGCAGATTAAGATCATTACAAGCCATACAGGGAACCTCAGAGAAAAAAAAGCATCATGGTTACTTCCCATGGCAGGAGGGTCCGGAACTGGAAAGACTATTATTGTGAAGGAGATAGCGAAGCTATTTGCAGAAAGAGATGAAGTACTATTAGTGAACCTAGCGGGTGGAGAGCTCACAAAGCGCTTCCGAGGAGAATTCCAGGGTGAGTATGAACCATCCACTTGATAAAAGGTAAATAAAATAAACATATACTGTATATGATTAATGAAAAATGCCCGACCGTTTTCTTTGGGAATAACACGGCTTCATAATTGCACGGCTTCATACATTGGCTATACAATTGACATTGGGCAGTTACAAGGTGTTGAGATGCATGTCAATTTTTTCCCTCGTCCCTCGCACCCTCGTCTAAGCCTCGCAGTTCCCATTAATGCAGTTAAGAGGTGGATTTTTCCACCTTACATGAAGTGACGATCTTCGCTTAACCATCTCAGAATTCAATTAAATTTAGCAAACGTTCGGAATACTTTGGGAATAGTCAAGAAATAATGTTGGTCTGTACTTCAAGACCGAGAAAGTCGAGTTTTAATTTAGTTATAGGGGCACATCAAGGCCCCCAACCCACAGATACTACCTTCCCAACTACAAGGTCATTATGAAGTCAGCACCCTATTTCGATTGGCCATAACTTTCAAGGGACAGCTGATACCTGCCAGGAAAATGAGTTTAATAGATTTTCCGAAATGCACCATGATGGCATTTCATGTTGACAAAGGGCACTGTAGTTGACCACAGCGCCTCCTTTCTAGGTTCCATTCCCCTTCTTGGGTAGAAAAAAATCTCATGAGCCCATGAGCTTCTTAACCCAAAATCAATTCAAAAGATTAGATGGTGAGTAGTAACTTGTCTCCTTGAAACTCATCAATCTGCACTGTAATATGATGGCTATCGTTACTATTGATAGTTACAAAATTTTTACTTCTACCTAAAATGTCATGGCCACCCTGTATTTAGTGAAAATTCAACATAGAATCAACTTGGATGCAAGGATGCAAAGTGGACGCTGGAGATCAGCTTCTGTGGTGAACTGATCAAGCATGATCTCTACCCTCACTTCCTGAGGATCACACTGGACAGAGACTCTCACCTACCAAAAATACCTCAAACAGGTGAGCAACAGAAAGAAAAGCTGCGTACTCACCAGTGTGGGCCCGAAACTCGCACACCCACCTGGTCGACACGCAGCTCCACGCACCCATGCGCCCTATCAGCGAAACCGTCAAATCGGCCCCATTACCTTGGCTTCCTGTACTCGCCAACATCGCTCCGCTACCCATTAGGCGCGATGAGGCAACACTACGAGAGTACAATAAAGCATTCTAAAACGCATCAACTCCGCTCCACGACATCAGCCGACCACTACGCGCACGCCTTAAGTCCTGCAGACCATTCTGGCTTGCAGGTGAAGCACTCCGATCCACCAGCACCGGACCGGATGAACATTGGAGAACACTATGGAACGACGCTGAGGCAAAGAACAAGAGGCCCATCTTTGACCCTACATCCGAGCCTCATGGTTTCTTGCTTCGACACAAACATTGGAGCGCCATTAACCGTATTAGAACTTCGCTCGGTAGATGTGCAAATGTTTTGCGCAAAAGACAGATTAAAGATTCACCACTATACTGCTTTCGGATTGAATTGGTCCCCCCCTAGGAGCGCCTCCATCAAGTACAGGCAAAACACCTTGTGGATGGAAGGTGAAGTATTAATAGATCCACCCAACAAACTTGCGGAGCAGCAGGCTTGACATCTACAGGCTCGTCTGGAATGCTTGTGTTTTCTGCTTTTTCCACAGTAGGGGGATACCAATCAATCCGAAAACACTGTATGTCGATGGGGCGAAATTCAAACCATGGTCAACGACTGCCCCATATACTCCTTCCGTGGTGGTACTGCCGAATTACATCTTGCAACACCGGAAGCTCCATCACCACTGATGCACCATCGACTGGATCTCAACACTCTCAATTATCTTATAATTTATTTATCACAGTATTACCCTACAAAGTTGCTACTTTCCATACGAAAGAAAGAAGCACGTCTTCCCTGTAGGGCAATTTCTTGCCAACCACGCTGGCCAATCCCGTGCTTCAGCATCCACCCAACTCATTGGACTTTGCTCCCTGTGATTTATTCTCTTCCCACAAAGCTAATAGGTGCGCCGAAAGGAATGAGATATGAATGACAGAAGAATATCATCAAACTCTACTAAATCACGAATCCACGGTGGAGGACAAAACCATAGAGTCCATCCCTCAGCACCCAATGAGAGACAACCTCGCTGATCCACCGCTCATCGAAGAAGTCCAACGGGTCTTGAAGCAGATGAAGAACAACAAAGCATCTGATCCTGACGGCTTCCCGGCCGAAATCTTCAAAGCCGGAAGAGAACCACTGACTCGCAAGCTTCTCGCGCTATTCCTCGGAATCTGGAACGATGAGAAAATCCCTGCAGATCTCAGGAATATGACAATCGTCACCATCTTCAAGAAGGGATATAAGTCTGTTTGTGGAAATTATCGTGGCATCGCCCTGCTCTCCAGTGCTGGGAAGATCCTTGTCCGTATTCTGCTGAACTGACTCCTCCCTCTTGCTGAAGAAGTCCTCCCGACAGTGCGGCTTCAGACCATCACGAGACACCACGGACACGATTTTCGTGTCCCGACAGATCCAGGAGAAATGCCGCGAACAACATCGAGAGCTGTATATGGCCTTCATTCACTTGACTAAAGCCTTTGACTCCATCAAAGGCTTTAGGTTATGACCTGGTGGAAGGTCATGGCTAAGTTTGGCTGCTCACGGAAATTCATCGCCATCCTCAGGCTTCTCCATGCTCAGATGGCTGTCACCTTCCTATGCAACGGCTCCGAGACGGAAATCTTCGTCATTCGAACCGGTGTCAAGCAAGTGTGCGTGATCGTCCCTACCCTCTTCTCCAGCTTTCTTGCAGTCATATTGATACTCATTCGCGATTGTTTTCCACCTGGAATCGATATCGTGTACCGGATGGACGGAAAGCTTTTCAATCTCTCCAGACTCCGCGCCAAAACCAAAGTGACATCGACCACGATCGTTGACCTTCAATACGCCGACGACTGCGCCGTCGTTGCGCAGTCTGAGGAGGATCTACAACTGACCTTGAGTTGCCTCTCGGATGCGTACCGGTGCCTTGGTCTGTCCCTCAACATCAAGAATACGACGATACTCTACCGACCAGCACCAGGTCAACCAACCAACCAGGCCAAACATCACCATCAATGGACAGGGTCTGGAGATCGTCGAACACGTTGCATACCTCGGCAATCATCTCTCGCAGAAGGCCAACATCGACGAGGAGATCTAGCATAGGATAAAATGCGCGAGTGCTGCCTTCGGGAGACTGAGTCACCGTATGTTCAACGATCGAGACATCAGGACCCCAACGAAGCTACTTGTGTACAATGCCGTTGTCATTCCCGCACTGCTGGAAGTGGAATTTGGGTGACCTACCGAATTCACCTGAAATGTTTGGAGCGGCAGCACCAACCCCGTGGAAAACATCATCCTCGACCTCGAGGGATCCCCGACGACGTGGTGCGCTGAAAGGAATGAGATTTCAGGACAATCAAAGCAGCATGGCAAAGGAGACGAGAGCGCTGCTGGCGGTTCCAAAATACGAGCACCAACAATGCTTCCAACAAGTGAAGAAATGCTGGAGAATTTGTGTTGATGCCAAAGATGAGGGGCTACTTCGAAAGAGAGCCATCAGCGACTGGAAATAGTCAGCACAGTTCCATTAAAGATAGAGTCCCGGAACATTTTGATCGGACTTCTTATTCCTAATGATGACCCGATTTAGGGGGCGTATGATGACCTCAACAACAATACGAATGCATGCTTTATTCTTCGTCCAGTTAGGGGATCGGTGATGCATTATACAGCGAAACCTGTGTGATACGGCCACAAGGGAGACTTTTTAAATTCGGTCGGTTCTGACAGGTGACCAATATGAAAAGGGAATTTATTTCCTGTTTTTCCTCTAGACAAACTTAGAGGTACTTGGCAGTCAGTTTTCCAAGAAAACCAATCACACAGTATCCTCCAAAGGTACTGCGGTTTGATTTTCTTGGATTTTATTTATTTTATGTACACCGAGAGCAATTTGAAGATCCAGGTTTCGTTGTCAGGAGGTCTTTAATGTTTGCTTGACGCGCGCGGATTTTTCATAAGCAGACTCGCTCCTGCAGAGACGCTTCGAACTTCGTGATCAAGTCAACTGACTCTTGTCTTCATCCCCTTTCTCTGCCAAATGGCACTTGAGCTTCTCCGTGGCGCTAAATGGCCTTAAAGAAAGGTAGTAAGATACACGGAACTAGGTCAACATTTGGATGATCGCTTTCACACTATTGAAACTGCAAAGATGTGACCTTGACAACCAAGCAAAGAGTCAATTCGGGGATTAGGAAGGGGGAGGGGAAAAGGAAGCGAGAGGGAGGAAAAGTGGGAGGATCTACTTGCAATCCTTCTTCCTGTATTCTGGCCGGATTAAATTGTGGTCGGCATAGAAAGGGTCTGCAAATCCTCGGCCATTCGCCGCGTTAGACAGGTGGACGGATAAAAGAGGTTATTTCAACATTGAGCCTATGGAGCTAACGATTGGGACTAAGCATTTATGCCGGCAAATGGGAGGTTCCCGTAATACCAAGGTGGTCGAATCCACAAGTTTCACTGTATGAGGCAATTGAAATGCTGGAGCCTTCAGCATTACAAATTTTCGCGAGAATTTTGGAATGGCAAGTCATTGCATATTCTTTGACCATTCCCTTGTCTTTCTTGCATCGCTTCGTTAAGCATTGCACAGTCCTCAAGCTCTATCATGCAAAGGGTGTAATGCCAAGTACTATGGAATATATCATTACACTATTTAAGAGGACAGGGAATGTCCCATATTTCAATTTAATATGGTAGTTTGGGAATGGCTTTAGACGTTTGCCTTGTTTATCAAGTACCTTCATCAAAATGGACTTCGGGCCGCATCTGTGTAGTGCCTCGTAAACCAATGAATTTCGTGCAGAATATCAACATAACTAACATCGACACACTAATGCTGATAGAAATAAAATCGACATTTAAATACTTCGACAGAAACAGAACGAAACGTAATAGCTTCGACAAATTGCCCTCAGATTTATACCGACACGGAACAACCTCGAATGTAACAGCACCGACATGGAATTACCTTGAGAGTATTTTTTCGTGCCGAGTTATCTGTGTCGGCACTGTTCCAGTCGTCATCATTCCGTCGTTCTTCAGCTGTCGAAGCAGTTCTGTGTCGACGTTATTCCGTGGCATCCTAGCGGCTGCCCCTCCGGTACTCCCTTCGGGAGGATGTTAAATTCCTTTGTGAGCAAAAAAAGGGGAGCAATAGATGTGAGTGAATAGGCGTTGGGTGGGATATGTAATAGATAAATAGGCCTATACAAGGTATATGCTCCTCCCCCAGCAAAAAAGTCTTTAGAAGGGTTAGTCTACTTAGGATTAGGTACGTCCCAGCTCAACAAGGGATGAGCACGATGGGCTTATTTGCCTTTTCACATTCCTAGGTGAATTGAATATTTAAAATGCAGACCATTGCGGCGGACTTTTTTTATCTTTCCGCAGTACCCTAGTTGTTCAAGTCTGGAATAGGAACAGCACGGAATTAGAGTATACTAGGTGTTGAGAATGTGTCCGATTCAAAGATGACCTGAGAGTGCTGGAGGAAAAGTTTTAAAAATACTTTTGTATAATTTCAGGAATGGCGAACATCATGGTGATGGATGGAGTTCAGGAGAAGATTCCGGAGAACCTTCAAGGGATATGCGAGTTCCTGAAGAAAAACGGAAGGGATAAGCATGTTCTGTTTGACGAAGTCCCTATCACTCTGGGAATTGAGGGTCCCCTTGATGAGAAGAGACTCACAGAGCACTGGAAGGAGATCTCCCGTTTCGAGAAGAGTGTGAGAAGCCTTACACTAGCATTTCGTCCGAATGATGATACTTATACGACGGAAATTGATGTAAAAAATATCAAGATCGCAGGCGTCGGTTTGAAGATCTTGAATGTCGTAAAAAGGAACACGATACGTGTGTCCGACTTATTCATGGCACTTGGCAACTACGCACGCAGGATTATTTTATGCCAGGAACCTACTCTTCGCGGAATGAACTTCTGGAAACCCGATATTCACGAGAAGTTGAAACCCAAGTTATCCACTATTCTTTCATGCTCTTTTCTTCATGATACCTGTCAAAGCGCGTCCTGTTGGGCAATCAGATCCTCCCATGCTTTACTTTCAATGTTTAAAGGAAATGGGAAAGAAAATGAAGACGTCAAAGAACCACTCGGATCCCTGTATGCTGTTGTTGACACCATCCAGAGAAGAAATCGACTGGTGAACACTCTGAAACGTGGATATGAGAGTGAGGTCGGATTTGTGGACTCATATGGAAGATTACGAGGCACATCGCCCAATTCGGATAATGTACCGCGCATTGTAGTAGTGACTGGTGACCAGATTTTAGGATGGCATTCAAAGGAAGAAATCGTCATTCTAGACCTTATTGGGTCCAATTGGAGGAATTATCTTCGCATGGTGTCCTCATGCCAGAGGAATGTCACCATTGTCATGGAAGAAGAAGTTCAAAGAGGGAAAAATCCCGGGCTACGTGCGATATTAAAAGGAATGAAATCGAATGAAGATCCCACTGAGAACAAAGAGAAAGTTTTGGAGAAATTGAATAATGCAAGGAAGTCAGAGCACACGATGAAAATGGACGAATTGGATGAAACAAAGTGGAATATTCTGCATCATCCATGTGGGAATAAACCGCATGCATCTCAAGATGAACATCCTAACAATTTTCCTGACGGGAGGTTGTTGACAATTATTTTCGGGGACCCGTGCTCAGGAAAGAGC